GGAAATCAACAACATACAGTGAAGTACCATCATCCCATGCATAGGTTAGACATATGCTTGATTAATTATATGGATCACGTATATTTTGTGAAATAGATCTTCAAATTTGACATCATCAAATTAGGAAAAAAGAAGGACAAGAATGGAAAACTATTTCTATGACAAAATATGGATTGTAAGAATGGTTAGTTCTATACCAGTTGGACATACAATTGTACCCAGCACATTCGTAGTAGTTTACTTTGATGACATTCTAGTATATTGTAAGAACATAGATGAACATATCGAGCATTTAATGTCCATGCTTATTGTCATGAAGCCGGATCAGTTTTATGCTAACATAGAAGGTTTACGTTGCGTATGAAAAAAGTTATTTTTGTTACTTATGTTGTTAAAAGGGTATTGAAGTAAATGAAGAGAAATTCAAAGCCATCAATGAGGAAGTAGCATGCAAAATGAAACCCAAGGTGGATTCCAAGACCTTGTCGGGATATGAACATCAAGTATTTTGGATGCTTAGGTCCCGATCGTATTGCTTCTCAATGTCCAAACAAAAGGAAAATTATCTTCCGCTACAATGAGGAATTGATGAGCAAAAGGTATGTGAGAGATATTATGAGTCCATGTGACGTACCAGTGCCACAAGTCACAAAATAGGATGGGGCTCTAGTAATTTGTGTTGGGTGGAGGGCAATCAACAACATACAGTAAAGTACCATCATTCCATGCCTAGGCCGGAAGATATGCATGATTAACTACATGGATCACGTATATTTTGTGAAATAGATCTTCAAAGTTGATATCATCATATTAGGAATAAGGAAGGACGTGAATGGAAAACTATTTTTAAGACAAAATATGGATAGTTCTATACCAGTTGGACATACCAATGTACCCAGCATATTCATGAGATTAATGAACCATGTTTAAAGGTATTTCTTAGTTGTTTACTTTGATGACATTCTAGTATATTGTAAGAACTTAGATGAACATAACGAACATTAGATGTGCATGCTTATTGTCATGAAGCAAGATCAATTTTATGCTAACATCAAAATGTTTACGGTGTGCATGGAAAAAGTTATTTTTCTTGGTTGCGTTAGTGGAAAGGGTATTGAAGTAAATGAAGAGAAATTCAAAGCCATCAAAGAGGAAGTAGCACGCAAAATGAAACCCATGGTGGATTCCAAACCTTCTAGAAATATGAACATCAAGTATTTTGGATTCTTAGGTCCAGATCGTATTGCTTTTCAATGTCCAAACAAAAGGGAAAAGATCTTGCGCGACAATGAGGAATTGATGAGCAAAAGGTATGTGAGAGATATTACTAGTTCATGTGACGTGCCAATGCCATGTCACAAAATAGGATGGGGCTCCAGTAATGTGTGTTGGCTGGAGGGCAATCAACAACATACCGCAAAGTACCATCACCCCATGCGTCAGAGGATACGCTTGATTAACTACATGCATCATTTATATTTTTTGAAACAGATCTTCAAAGTTGATATCATCAAATTAGAAAGAAAGAAGGACATGAATGGAAAACTGTTTTTAAGACAAAATATGGATTGCGAGAATGGTTAGTTCTATATTAGTCGGACATACAATTGTACCCAGCACATTTGCTCATTGAACCATGTTTAAAGGTAAATTCTTAATAGTTTACTTGGATGACGTTCTAGTATATTGTAAAAACTTAGATGAAAATAACAAGCGTTCGATGTGCATGCTTACTGTCATGAAGCAAGATCAGTTTTTATGCTAACTTTAGAAAGTTTACGTTGTGCATGGAAAAAGTTATTTTTTTGGGTTATGTTGTCAGTGGGAAGGTATGGAAGTAAATGAGGAGAAATTCAAAACCATCAGAGAGGAAGTAGCAAGGAAAATAAAATCTAAGGTGGATTCCCAACTTTCCAGGAATATGAACATAAAGTATTTTGGTTGCTTAGGTCCAGATTGTATTACTTCTCAATGTCCAAACAAAAGGGAAATGATATTGCGCGATAACGAGGTGAGAGATATTACAAGTCCATGTGACGTGCCAGTGCCACGTCACAAAATAGGATGGGGCTCCAGTAATGTGTGTTGGCTAGAGGGTAATCAACAACATATAGTAAAATACCATCATCCCATTCTTGATTAACTACATGGATCATGTATATTTTGTGGAATAGATCTTCAAAGTTGATATTATCAAATTAGGAAGAGAGAAGGTCACGAATGGAAAACTATTTTTAAGACAAAATATGGATTGAAGGAAAAGTTATTTCTATACCGTTTGAACCATGTTTAAAGATAAATTGTTAGTAGTTTACTTTGATGACATTCAAGTATATTGTAAGAAGTTATATGACCATATTGAACACATGCTTATCGTCATGAAGTAAGATCAACTTTATACAAACTTTAAATGGTTTACGTTGTGCATGGAAAAAGTTATTTTTCTCGGTTACATTTTTAGTGGAAAGGGTATTGAAGCAAATGAAGAGAAATTCAAAGCCATCAATGAGGAAGTAGCACGGAAAATGAAACCCAAGGTGGATTCCAAACCTTCTAGGAATATAGACATCAAGTATTTTGGATGCCTCCAGATCGTATTGCTTCTCAATGCCCAAACAAAAGGGAAATTATTTTGCGCGATAAGGAGGAATTGATGAGCAAAAGGGATGTGAGAGACATTACAAGTCCATGTACGTGCTAGTGCCACATGTCTCAAAATAGGATGGGGCACCAATAATTTGTGTTGGCTGGAGGACAATCAACAACATACACTAAAGTACCACCATACCGTGCCTAGGTCGGATGATATGCTTGATTAGCTGCACGGATCACGTATAATTTGTGAAATAGATCTTTAAAGTTGAGATCATCAAATTAGAAATAAAGAAGGACTTGAATGGAAAACTATTTTTAAGACAAAATATGGACTGTAGGAATGGTTAGTTCTATACCAGTTGAACATACGATTGAACTCAGCACATTCGCTTGATTATTGAACCATGTTTAAAGGTAAATTGTTAGTAGTTTACTTTGATGACATTCTAGTATATTGTAAGAACTTAGATGAACATATCGAACATTAGATGTGCATGCTTATTGTCATGAAGCAAGATCAATTTTATGCAAACTTTAAATAGTTTACGTTGTGCATGGAAAAAGTTATTTTTCTCGGTTACATTTTTAGTGGAAAGGGTATTGAAGCAAATGAAGAGAAATTCAAAGCCATCAATGAGGAAGTAGCACGCAAAATGAAACCCAAGGTGGATTCCAAACCTTCTAGGAATATAGACATCAAGTATTTTGGATGCCTCCAGATCGTATTGCTTCTCAATGCCCAAACAAAAGGGAAATTATTTTGCGCGATAAGGAGGAATTGATGAGCAAAAGGGATGTGAGAGACATTACAAGTCCATGTACGTGCTAGTGCCACATGTCTCAAAATAGGATGGGGCACCAATAATTTGTGTTGGCTGGAGGACAATCAACAACATACACTAAAGTACCACCATACCGTGCCTAGGTCGGATGATATGCTTGATTAGCTGCACGGATCACGTATAATTTGTGAAATAGATCTTTAAAGTTGAGATCATCAAATTAGAAATAAAGAAGGACTTGAATGGAAAACTATTTTTAAGACAAAATATGGACTGTAGGAATGGTTAGTTCTGTACTAGTTAGACATACGATTGAACTCAGCACATTCACTTGATTATTGAACCATGTTTAAAGGTAAATGGTTAATAGTTTACTTTGATGACATTCTAGTATATTGTAAGAACTCAGATGACCATTTCGAACATTAGATGTGCATGCTTACTGTCATGAAGCAAGATCAATTTTATGCAAATTTTAAATAGTTTATGTTGTGCATGGAAAAAGTTATTTTTCTCGGTTACATTTTTAGTGGAAAGGGTATTGAAGCAAATGAAGAGAAATTCAAAGCCATCAATGAGGAAGTAGCACGCAAAATGAAACCCAAGGTGGATTCCAAACCTTCTAGGAATATAGACATCAAGTATTTTGGATGCCTCCAGATCGTATTGCTTCTCAATGCCCAAACAAAAGGGAAATTATTTTGCGCGATAACGAGGAATTGATGAGCAAAAGGGATGTGAGAGACATTACAAGTCCATGTACGTGCTAGTGCCACATGTCTCAAAATAGGATGGGGCACCAATAATTTGTGTTGGCTGGAGGACAATCAACAACATACACTAAAGTACCACCATACCATGCCTAGGTCGGATGATATGCTTGATTAGCTGCACGGATCACGTATAATTTGTGAAATAGATCTTTAAAGTTGAGATCATCAAATTAGAAATAAAGAAGGACTTGAATGGAAAACTATTTTTAAGACAAAATATGGACTGTAGGAATGGTTAGTTCTATACCAGTTGAACATACGATTGAACTCAGCACATTCGCTTGATTATTGAACCATGTTTAAAGGTAAATTTTTAGTAGTTTACTTTGATGACATTCTAGTATATTGTAAGAACTTATATGAACATATCGAACACTAGATGTGCATGCTTATTGTCATGATGCAAGATCAATTTTATGCTATCATTAAAAAGTTTACGTTGTACATGAAAAAGTTATTTTTCTCGATTACGTTGTTAGTGGAAAGGGTATTGAAGTAAATGAAGGGAAATTCAATGCCATCAAAGAGGAAGTAGCACGCAAAATAAAACCCAGAGTGGATTCCAAACATTCTAGGAATATGGACATCAAGTCAGCGCCAAATCCAGGATTGAAGTCCAGCTAGGGCGGGTTGACCGTTGACTATTGATCGTCGACGATCGGACTAAGAGTGGTTGACCGTTGACTGTCGACGATCGTAATAGTCCGATCATTTAATAAAATTAGTTATATAATATTAAAAGTTATTCAATATATATGTAAATGAATTGAAACGTCAAAATCGTATACATATGAAAATATACTTCAATACAACCCAAAATAGTAAAAAAATACGATACAACCTTACTCAGTTACTCTGTAACTGTAAACTTAGACAACTGTATTCTACGGGGTCTCATGATTTGAAAACGTTGCAATAATGCCTCATTCTCAAGTTTTTTAAAAATAGCCTTCTCCACGTAAACCACTAAATTGTCATTCAACCAGACATCTCCCATTTTGTTGCGCAAATCACTCTTGATTAGATTCATAGCAGAAATATCCTTTCAACACTTGCAGTTGCCACAGGTAATATCATTACCAAGGTGAGCAGCCTATAAACCAATGGAAAATAACAAGAACTTCCAGTTTCAACCAACTTCTGAAGTACACAAGATATGCTATTGAGATTAAAGAAAGCTTTGTCCATTCTCACAAGCGAAAGAAACTTAACAGGTTGAGGTCTAAGTAATAAAAGCTCTTCACTATTGAAGTCCAAAGGATAAAACTGAGTAAGACGTAGCAATTTAGTCTTATCAAAAGCTACAAATGAATCTCTTGGACTTAAATATGAAATGCAAGTAAAGAGCTCAGTAGTTGTTTCTAGAAAACGATCATTCAACTCGTGCAAGATTGAGTCTATCGCATGACAATACAAATCAACATAAAAGCGATGAAAATAAGTCACCTGCTGAGCTACACGCCTAGGTCGACCTTTCACTACTACAATATCTTCCATATTGGGCACTAAAATATGTCTATCAACACAAAACTCAAACAACCTACTCAACAAAGTATCCCAACCCTTCTCTCTTAGGTTCTGCAATGCACACTTACACAAATTCAATAACCTCATTGATTCTAAATATCTTGATCCTTTTTTTGTAAGGCTTGTGAAAGGTCATCTGTAATTGCAAGAATTTCAAACATAAAGTGGAGATTAAACACAAACTCAAAATCTTGCATAGCGTTCATCTGTCTTACGGTCGAAGATTTTTTATCTGAATGTACGCCATCTGCTAATATATTTTCAAGAACATCTATGATAGCATTAAACATATTAATGAAACAAGTAATTTTTAGTAGATGTGAGCCCCATCTAGTATCACCTGGGCATGCCAAACTCATTTCTTGAAACTGACCACTTCCACTAGTAAGTTCCCCAGTATTAAGCTTCTCCAAAATATTAGCTTGATAACATGTTCGAAGAGCATCTACACACTTACATGATGCACCAACCAAATTCACAATAATAGCAAGTACGTCAAACAAATCACCAAGCATATCATTCCTACGTGTGGCAGATACAATTGCCAACTGAAGCTAGTGAGCAAAGCAATACACATACATAGCATGTCGGTTTTCTCTTAAAATTAAAGCTTTCAATCCATTGAACTCACCTGACATATTACTTGCTCCATCATAGCCTTGACCTCTCAGGCTAGATATGGTCAACCCATGTATAGAAAACATTGCATCAATGGCATCCTTCAATGATTGGGCACAAGTATTAGTGACATGGGACATACCCAAAAAATGCTCCTTCACTTGCCCACTTTTATAAACTAATCTCAAAACAACTGCCATTTGTTCTTTCATAAAATTATCACGAGCCTCATCAACCAAAATTGAAAACAAAGAATCACCGTGGATAATAACCCTTGTCATCTCTACTGCAAAACAATTAATCAAATCCTTTTGGATGGTTGGTGAAGTCATTTGGTCATTTTCAGGAGCATTACTGAATAATAGTTCTTTAATTTCTTTACAACGAGCTGCATACGAGTTCAGTAACTCAATTAGATTTTCTCTATTAAGAGACTCTTTTGATTCATCATGACCATGAAATGACAATCCTTGCATCAAGAGGAATCTATTACAATCTAGCACCGCATTCAACCTGGTCCTATAACTACTACTTTGGCAAGACATAACATAAGAGATACTTTCCTTTTGATTCATCAAGTTGGTACACTTTGCAAAAGCTTGATTATGAGCACTATCCAAGAGACCGAAATGATCTTTCAATGTCTTTTTGTGCTTCCAATCCCTAAAGCCGGTCTTAGTAAATATATGGCCACCCCCTTGACCCCCTCTATCGGGTTTGAACAAATAGAAATGTAAACAATATGCGGCATCTTTTTCTATACTGTATTCCAACCAATGAAATTCGGAGAACCATTCTTTTCGAAAACATCTATTATCATTCTCCATCGATCTTCTTGAAAAATCATGTCCATATGGTTGACAAAGACCCTTCTCCAAGTATGCCATCCTAACATCATCTTTGATATTAGGATCATACGACTCAATAGGGGGCGTATCCTTGGATCAGATACAAGATCATCCAATTAAATTGAGCCCGGAACTTCTTTGTGTTATTCAATAACTCTTGTGCTCGACTAGAATCAATGGCAGGACTAGATGCACAACTAGAAGTAGAAGAATTGGGTATGAACTTTCGTTTTGGTTGAAAAAATCGTTCCATAATCTGCAAATGTCCCAATTCAATTTTCAATTACAATTGATTAAAAAAAATAACCAAGTACACACGGGCTATAAAACCAACAAAGAATCAGATTAATGGACACAAGAACATCATGTTTTCTGGTGGTTTTTATAATGCTCCAACTTCCAACCCTATTCACAACTATGGGGGGTTTGATCTAATATTTCAAGAATCGAAATTGAACCCTAAATTTCGATTCTTTTGGATTCAATCACTATAGAAAAATTGAAATTGAACGTTATGATTTAGGGCCTGAAGAATAGATCATCATTTTTTATGTATAGGGTGTTTTATTTTTCAAATATATCAGTTTTAATTTTCTTAGAGCCTTTGCTGCTTGAAGATTTAGACAACTGATTTTATTTGGTCCTCAATTATCCTGAAATGCTAATGGAGCCATGGGGCATTCACTTGGCTTTTAGCATTGGGAAATATAGTCTCTTCATAGGGATGCACATGAGTGGAGCTGAGATTAATTGAATACTTGAAAAACTTTATTGATACCAAATGCGTTAATTGAAGTCAAGCTAATTTAAGCAAGCTAGGGGGGCTATTGAGCTCTCAGTTGCTAGGTTGAGTTCAAATCTACGAAAATAAATATTCTCCTAAAAATTTACAATTCAATCAATAGGCATTAGGCACTAGGCAGTTGAGGGAAAGCCGGAAAAAAAATAGAACAAAACCAAAATCCAACAAAATCCTAAAAAATAAATATTCTCCTAAAAAATTCACAATTCAATCAATTCAACTTGAGTACAGTAACAAAATTTAACAAAATCAAAATAGCCAAATCAAAATAGAACAAAACCAAAAAAAAAAAAATCGAAAAAAATTAATAAAGAGGGAAAGCCGGAAAAAAAAAGAGTTACCGCACTTACATGAGTCGGCAGTCTCGACAGCAGGAGCAAGCGAGCCTTCGAGTTCTAGTTCCGGTCTGCAGACTGCAGCGATTGGCACTAAATTTTTTTGAACCAGAAAATGAAAGTGAAGAAGAAGATCCCTCCTAGCCGGGAGCCAATGAAGTCACAATTCTCAAATCTAAAAGAAAGGGCAAATGAAATGGGTATTAATATGGGTCAGGGTAATGGGTTTGGACTTTGGATAAATTAATTTTACTTTTGGGCTAAATAATAAAAGGCCCAACATATTGTGCAAAAGCCCAAACCAACCAAAAAAAAAAACAAACGGATTTGAGGGTTTCCATCTTCTTCTTCTCCAGGCGACCGTCGACGACCACACTGGTGACATTGCCCGGCGGCTCTGCAGTTTGGGCGGAGCCAGGACGGTGGCATCAAGTATTTTGGAAGCTTAGGTCAAGAACGTATTACTTCTCAATGGCCAAACAAAAGAGAAATGAGCTTTCACGATAATCAAGAATTGATGAGCAAAATGTATGTGAGAGATATTACGAGTCCATGTGACATGCCAGTGCCACATGTCTCAAAATAAGATGGGGCTCCAATAATGTGTGTTGGCTACAGGGCAATCAACAACATACAATAAGGTATTAACATCCCATTCCTAGTTTGGACGATATGCTTGATTAACTACATGGATCATTTATATTTCAACAAATTAGGAAGAAAGAAGGACGTGATTGGAAAATTATTTTTAAAAGTAAATATGGATTGAAAGAATGGTTAGTTGCATACCATTTGGAATA